TAACTCATTATTAGTTCATTCTTCCCACTTGCTGTTTTGTTACCCTCTTTTCACGTTTCTCCCTTTGTTCTCACAATTTCTACTTGTTACAGTATGTCCCTTGTCATCCTATGTTGTTCCATAATGTTTTAGTTAGCACTGTGCCTGAAGTATCAATATCTGTTATAGTCTAGCGCAGTGATTTTCAACCTTTTTTGAGCCGCGGCACATTTTTTACATTTACAAAATCCTGGGGCACACCACCAACCAAAATGACACAAAATGACACTCTAACACAGTACATATAATACATAGGCCTATAGTTAATAATATAGTTTCTAAATGTATTTATACTCACTTAGTGTGAAACCTGGGCCTGTTTCGATGAACACAAAATAGATATCCTGGCAGGAATGGTAGAAAGACACACACGAAGCTCTTCCTCAACAGCTCTCAGTCTCTCTCTGTTTTTTGTTTTTATCGCAGTCAAGCTTGAGAAGCTCAGCTCACATAGATATGTGGTTGAAAACGGGAGCAATGTCAAAATAGCTTTGTTGGCCAGAGTGGGGAACTCCTTGGCAACAGATAACCAAAACCTGTCCAAAGGAAGATCAGCAAAGTTTAGCTTTAAACCACGATCTTGTTTCAGTTCAATGAGTTCCTCTTGCTCCTTTAAAGTCATGTCCTTTCCAGCAACGGATGCTGAGCTGTATGGGTCCCTAACCCAGTCAAGGCATTCTGTGAAGGCTGAAGAGAAATAAAATGACAACTTCTCCTCGAGAGTTTTCAAATGTGTGCCAATCACCTCGCACATTGCAGCAGTGTTGCCATCATGCAGTTTCTCGGTGAGCGGGAACATCTCAAGGTTGCCACGCTGCACATGTTGTTCCCAGAGCTGCACCTTTGAACGGAATTCGTTCATTTTATCAGTGCCTTTTAAGCAGGTTTTCATTTCGGCCTTGCATCCGTGTGTTCAGTTCATTCAGATGATGAAATATATCAGCCAGGTATGCCAGCTTTGCACACCACTCATCACTTGCAAGCAGCTTTGAGTAATCGGACCTCTCGTTTGTCAGAAATACTTTAAGTTCCTCTCGCAGCTCATACACACGGGCCAGCACTTTGCCGCGCGACAGCCACCGGACCTCCGTGTGGAGCAATAAGACCTTATGTTCCGCTCCCATTTCCTCACACAAAGACGCAAATAAGCGACATTTCAAAGGTCGACTTTTCACAAAGTTCACTATGTGCACAACATCATCCAACACAGGAGCTAGATCTGCTGGTAAGGTCTTCGCAACGAGGGCCTCACGGTGCAAAAAACAGTGCGTAACAATAACATCTGGGTTTCTTTCTTTGACCCTACTTACGAAGCCTTTGATCCGCCCGACCATGGCTGCGGCTCCATCAGTGCAGACACCTGCGCAGTTTTCCCACGTAAACCCGCTTTTGTCAAGATATTCCGACGTGACCCGAAATATTTCCTCTCCTGTTGATTTTTCTGGCAGTGCCTTGCAAAATAGGAAGTTTTCTCTAATGGCTTCTCCATCCACCAAACGCACGTTGGCCAAGAGCTGACAATGTCCACTAATATCCGTCGACTCATCAAGTTGCAAGGCAAATTTCTTACTGATGCGCATCTTTTCCAAAACAACAGTTTCGATGTCCGCAGACATGTCATCAATACGTCTGGCAATTGTGTTATCTGAGAGAGGCACTTTAGCTATCTCTTTGGCCGCGTCAGGGCCGATCATCTCATTTACAATGGCTTTACAAGCTGGCAGTATTAATGTTTCTGCCACAGTGTGGGACTTTTTTGATTTAGCTATGAGTTCAGCAACAAGGTAGCTAGCTTTGAGGGCTCTCTCGTTTACCTTTGTGGTTTTTCTCAAAAAAGTTGCCTGTTTCTCATTGTTTGTACGTAAGCGTACAAAATAGTCCATCGGCTTATTTTGAACGAAAGGGTGTTTCGTTTGGAGATGGCGTTTAAGCTTGCTTGGGACCATGGCGCTATTGGATAGCTTCTCACCACACACCAAGCACAGCGGAGTCGGTGCTGTCGCATCCCCGGTGAAAGTAAATCCAAATGAAAGATAGCTTTCGCTGTATTGCCTCGAGCTCACCGTCTTGTTTTTTTCTTTGACCACTCATACTAGGGCCTTCATCTGGGTCAGAATTTTGTCCAGGGCCCTGTTCGGCATTTGCATTTTCCCTTCTCAAAAACTTCTCCATCACTGTCACTTGCTCGTCTTGCTGAGATCCCAAACTGTCACTGTCACGTGAGCACTAACTGCTGCGCGACACGTGACAGTGGGTGGCAGCGTCTTTACAGGCATTTATCGCCCTCTGCTGCCACCCACTGAAATAGAAGAGTATTACATTATCTGCCACACTTTATTACAGCAGACACCCAACAATGGTTAATTAGGTGATATTAGATAATTTCCTAGGGCACACCTGACGATCTCTCACGGCACACTGGTTGAAAATCACTGGCTTACTGGATCAATTTACTAGGGCATAAACAGGAACATTTTACAAAAGCAATAATAGAGGGGAGTTGGGAAACAATAAACTTAACAGGAACAGGATTTGCATGGAATGCAAAGGAATGGGCTACAGAAATGTCGCTAAATAATATATATTATTTCCTGTTTTTTTAGCCAACCTGAAGTTGATTTACAATTTCATGAGAGTGTTAAAAAAGGACAAATTGATATTAAGAGCTATACAATTGAATATATCAGAACAGTTTATTATGCGTTTCTTCCAATATACACTGATCAGGGTATATGCAGGAATCTTGAAGTTAATTTTAATACCTTTTCAAGACTTTTTCAAGACCTTCTCAATATTTTTTAATACCTCACCGCCACTTCAAGCTGTAACCATTTACATCAGTGATACTTTTAACTTAACAGTTTTAGTTTGTGATAAAGACTATAGACCACTCTGATAAAAAAAAAATCAAATAGGCTGGGATAGTAAATCAAAGCAAAGTTTATTAAAAAACAAAACAAAACTTTGCTCCACCCTCAACAACAATCATGCTGACATGTGCCTCAGTTGTTCGTTTAAAAAAAAATAAAAATGACTAAATTCACACACTTTTACGATGTTTTTGGGACTCAAACTGTTGGACAGCTAATTCAGAAAAAATTAGGGATGCACCGAAATGAAAATTCTTGGCCGAAACCGAAAACGAGGAACCCAAGGCCGAAAAAACGAAAACCGAAACACCAAAAGAAATTATGCCAATTATAAGTACCATTGCATTTATGTTATGACTGTGTCTAAAATCAACTTTACTAAAATCAAAGCATTGCAATTGCATAAATTAACATTTTCAAAGAATAAATCAATTACAAATTATGCAAATATTATTTTAGCACAATGCACAGCATAAAATAAAATTCAAACTAAAATGTTTAACTTGACCCCACTCATGTGTACATTAAATAATAATCTGCTGGCCTGCAGAAAGGTTTTAAAATGAAATGTTCTCTCATAAAAACAAAGCCGAGCACGAACTTCTCATCACACCAGCACCCAGTTTGCACGTCTAAATTAGTTGATTACATTTTAAAAATTAGCATACACTAGCATAAAAAGCCATTTTAATGAACAAAGGTCCATGTTTAATACAAATGTACACGAAACTTAATGAAATATGTTTAGTGACATTAGAAAATATTTAAGAGAGTGTTAATTTAGTACATATTCCTATAACGTTACATATTTTGTTGTAATGTCACAAGTAATAATCTCAGGGTGTTTATCTTTCTTCTTCTCACCGATTCCTGATGGTTAGAGGACAGTTACTTGAGTCGTCCCCTGTCGTTTCAAAGAATAGTACAACGGCGAGCGCGTCAAGTATAAACGCCTCGACCGTTTGGAGAGGTGCGCGCGCTGTCTGTGGAGACTCGCGCTGCGGAGGCGGGCGAAAGTATAAACAAGGCTTCCGTCTCCTCGCGGGTTCAGATCATAGACAGTAAAAGAAATGGACAGAGCGATCTCATTGGAACTCAGTTGAGACAGTTGAAGCCCACTTTTAGCGATTTTTGAGAACTTCCGTTCCTGACGCGCAGACTCAGACCGACTCAAACTAAGCTTGATGACGTGAGCAACCTGTCTGACAGACGTGAATCTTCTAGTAGCTGTGCGTGAAAATTGCCAACGTTAATCTTGCAGAGACGGGGAACTTGAGCAAAGAGTCCTTTATCGTGAGTGAGCAGGAGTAAGTATTCCGTTGCTTTTATGGACTCATTATCTATTGGCTTCTCTCTTGACGGGACGTCCCCCCGATTGCCTGCGAGCTTCTCCTCCTGTCTGTACGGTAATTTCTGTACAGCGCGACAGAGAGTCGAGTGGTTATGACGCAATCGTTAGCCTATTTTTACTAAAACTGTTTCTACGGGGCCATAATGTAACATAGAAGGTCATGGAGCCATTTATACATTGTCGTGTTTCTTTAGAAATAAATAATGGACAAATGGAGTCTTTAAACGCCTCAGATGTAAAGTTATTCGCTGTCAAAGTGACGCCAAAATGAATGGTAGTCAATGGAAATGCTAACGCAAGTGAAGTTCTGCTACAAGATGGCGGCACCCGGCCGGCTTCAACTTCCGGTCGATGGGTTACCCCCTTGGTTCAGATATACTGAAATACGTCCACATCGCAGACATGTTGCTTCAGACAAGCACGTGCAGGTCGCGGTTTCTGTTTGCGTCATCACAACATTTCGGCCGTATTGTTTCGGTGATAAAAGTCTTTCGGCCGAAAACCGAAAATGCACTTTTGGGCTATTTTCGGCGGCCGAATATTCGGTGCATCCCTAGAAAAAAATACTTTCAAAATTTAAGACTTTATAAAGCCGTGATAAGACTTTTTAATACTTTTTAAGGGTCTTAATTTTCCCAAAATTGATTTATCACCCTTTTAATACTTTTTAAGACCCCGCGGATACCCTGCTGATGGATCAAGAAATCCTGAGATAGGTCGTACTGGATCATACGGTGGCCGAGAGAGCTCAACGCGCTGCAACTGAAGAAAACGCATGCAAATAGAAGAAAAAACATGCAAATAGAAAACAACGCGTGCAAATAGAAAAAAACACATGCAAATAAAATAAAACGCATGCAAATAGAAAAAAACGCGTGTAAATAAAAAAACACCCGCAAATTAAGAAAACATCTTCATCAGTTTCACAACACACGTGTGCTCCAAATACTCACAACACCACCAAATACATAAACGCGCTGCAAATAACACAGAGCACAACGGAAATGTTTCCAGGGGAACCAAATAAGTGACGAACCCGGCTGGGACGTGCCGGCGTAGATATCCATAAATCTATGCGTGCTGGTGCTTACAGCTTAAAATTATACTTTATTTATTTGTTTATTTATTTATTTGTTTGTGCAAAACATACAGAGATTAAATTTTTTTATGACACACAACTTGTATACAATGTACAAAATGTATTAACGATATGTTCAATGTCATCAGAATACAAATGAGAAAAGAACAATGAGCTGGAAACTAAAATAAATAAATAAAAAAGATAAAGAAGAAAAACATGAAGGAAAGATATTTATCTATAGATCAGTTACACTGTACAAATTGTTTCATGTTATTACATTTTCATAAAGAAAAGTTTCGTAAGAAATGTTAGGTAATGTAGGGTCCAAAATTTTAAAGTTGAGACACAGATATATAACGCATATTTTAAAAGCTTTTTTTGGAAACTAAAACTAAAAATGTATTTGCATCCGTTATGTTAACAGCTAGTGTTGTAGTCAAGACCACCTAACCCGAGACCAAGACAAGACCAAGACCAGAGTGTATCGAGACCGAGACAAGACCAAGACTTTTAGGGGCCGAGACCAAGACAAGACCAAGACCGAGGGAGGGCGAGACCGAGTCAAGACCAAGACCAGCGCCCCACACACTACATGACAAAATAAAATGTGAAACATGATTAAAAGAGCTTCTCAAATTGATCTGAAAGATCCACATTCCCATAAAAACACAGATATTTAACACTCAAAGCTGAAATAAACTTAACCATCTTTATTCAATACTCCTGGGTGACTTCATTTATTACAGAATGTAAAACAAGTCTTCACTTTTCTCCGCCTTTTATTAACAATACATAAAGTTATTGTTTTTAAACCAACAACAATCTTTTTTTTTTTCAAAACCACATAGCTAAATGTGTAAAAAATTCATGTGATTTATAAAAGTACGAAATTGATTTATTTGGGAGCAGTTTCATCATATGCCAAACCTTAACAAACTGAAGTGGCAAACACTCTTCATAAATTCAAGCTCACTGCAGTGGATAAACACATAGATATAGATATAGACACAGAACACATAAACATGACTGACTGACCATTTGATGTACAGTAAATTATATCCAGCATATTTTACAGTGCAAAAATGCCAAAGATACATATTCAATGGTTGTTTTGAGTTACTTACTTCAAATCAAAACATTAACTTTAAAGTCAATCTATACAGCAACATCTAAACATTCACCCAGGGTTTTCCGCTGCATTAAACGTAAAGCTGAATATGAATACAGTAAGTCTATGTAAAATGTAGATGCTCAGAAACAATCATCGACAGTAAGAACTAAAGACACAAGTTTCTCTCTTTTACAGATTTAAAGGGATAGTTCACCCCAAAATGAAAATTCTGTCATTAATTACTCACCCTCATGTTGTTCCAACCCCGTAAGACTTTCGTTCATCTTCGGGACACAAATTAAAATACGGGCTTACGGGGTTGGAACAACATGAGGGTGAGTAATTAATGACAGAATTTTCATTTTGGGGTGAACTAACCCTTTAAGTTTGCTTTTGAATGAATGTGTCAGCTTTTATAAGTTTTCAAAGCTGCATAAAAATACACAACTGTTTAATTGGGAGCAGATTCATCATATGCAAAACCTTAAAAAACAGCAGTGACAAAACACTCTTCATAAATTCAAGCTCAAGGCCAAGGATAACCACATAGTTGCACGGTAGTTGCAATAGAGGAGTAGATGGACACCTCAAAAGTTGCATCAATGGAAATCAGTTTAAAGTAAAGTTTGGTTGCATTTTAGAAACATGAGAGATTGCAACATTCTGTGACCTAAACGTGCACGATGAGGTCTCATTATAATGCCTCCTCTACTGAAAACTCTCTCCACTGGTGCAGAGGAGGCAGGGACTGACAGTACCTTCAATGCCAAATTGTGGAGTTGTGGGAATCTGGCATGGTTTTTGGCCCAGAAGACAAGTGCATTGTCAGTATCAGAGTCACGGATGGCATCAAAGTATTTGCTTATCTGTGTTACAATACTTGAATCTTGGACTGAGCCGCACTTCTTGTGTGCCTTGTAACGGGACAGAAGGCGAGGGCATTTGAGTGGTGGCGAATCACTGGCTGGATCCACATTCATGGCTTCTGAGGCAGTTTCATGATCATCTTTACTGACCATCATGTTCTCCACCTCTAAGATCAATGTGTCTGAAAAACACAAACACAATGACTGAGTTAGATTTAAAAGGATATGCACATATCAGAGTTAAATGAAATACCTTTAGGACCTTTTATAAGACAATGATAAATTATCAATTACGTTATCTTTTTGTTATTCAAATAAACATAGCAAGTTAATGTAAATGTAAGTGCTGGTTATTTCATTCAGTGCAGAGGTCAGTAATGAAATGATTTTATGAATAGTTATTTATTTAGGTTACAAGGTGCTACTGTACTAAATCTAACCATTGGCCTACTGTTTTTAATAGTACTTGGAACACTCTGTACTTTGATTTCTCTCTACAGGTGAGTATGATAGGCTAGTATAAAGTGAGTTTGGTTTATGTACAATAGGCATGTTACCAGCCTAAATATAAAGAGTTTCAGGTTCAGTTGGCCCAGAGTATTACAAAATATTTTTTAGGACAAAAATAATCAGATGAAATGAAGACTCTATGAATTCCACTGTAAGACTAGTTAAGGCTTTTATGGGCTACTAATTTAAAACATTTTAGGATTCATAGTTTTGCAAATAAGACATTTATTTTCAGCGGATAAAAATGTATACTAACCTGTCAGTGTCTTCTTAAGTTCATCTCTGAACTTCTTCACTGATGTTGCATTTCCCCCATTGGTAACATCTAAGTCCACCCAGCTTAAGCCAAACTGTGGATCCAGCATGGTAGCAAAAAAGTACACATTATGGTTAAAAGGTTCCTCTTTTCCGCTGTCTTTGCCCGTGTTTGTTTTTGTAAAGATTCCAGAGAATCTTTTCAACAGAGACTGTTGGAGGGCTCTGACCAATGGCCGGCACTGCATTCGGGTCTCCTCCATCTTGAGGAGGTGTGTATTCAAGTCCAGGACAGTTGGAACCACCATGCTAATGGTAACTGATTTCTCTCCTTCTGTCAGGTCTGTTGCCTCGGAAAATGGAGCAAGGACTGCACTCAGTTCCTTCAACTGGTTCCACTCACGGGCACTAAACACCACATCCTCGTAATCCTTGCTGCACAGTTCGTTCAGGGCTTTGTGGTCCAGAGCTGTGAGGGCCTGTACTTGTTTGAATGTACTGTTCCAGCGAGTATTGTTTGCAGCTGGAACAGTCCTATTAGTGCCAAACATAGCCTCAAACTTGTCTTTGAATTGTGAGCTGCTATGTAATAGAGTTGTGAATCGTGATGTTTTGGCTATGGTGCGGGAAATGGCCCTAACCTCCTTCATGCCGTCATTCACAACTAACTGCAGAGAGTGTGCAAAGCAGGAAAGACGTTCACCTGATGACCAGGGTAATTCTGTGTCTTCCACTGAAGTAATGTCCTCCCACAAGTGCTCATCATCTAGATTATCCTCCTCACTCTCACTGTCGTCAGATTGCTTTTGGGGCATGTGTACTTTGAAAGCGCATTTCATATTTGCGGCATTGTCTGTTATTATATAGCTTATTTTCTGACGGATACCATATTCTTCTGTGATCTCCTCAAAGGCAGAAGCAATATGCTCTCCAGTATGTCTGCCTACAAAACGCCTACAGTCCAGCAGGTAGGATTCAAGTGCATAGGAATCCTTTGATTTACAGCACACATGGGCAGTCACTCCCAGGAAGGAGCGTAGCCTGCGATCAGACCAGATGTCAGTTGTTAATGACACAGATGACTGGGTCTCAAGTTTCTCCAAAACAGTTTCCTTGACCTTCCTTACTAACTCTGGTATCCGTCTCTCAGAAATAGTTTTTCTAGAGATTGGTGTGTAGTTACTATCCATAATCCCAAGAAAGTGTTTAAAATGTCCATTTTCCACAAGTGACAGAGGCAGACAACACCCAATTATTAAATCTTGAACAATGGCTTCACTGATGGCTTGTTGCCTTGGCGATTGTAGACTGTAGGGCTGCACTTTCTGTGTAAAGAATGATATAGTTGGCTGTGTGACATCTGTCTTTTGCCCTGCCTTGTACTCCAAGAACCTTCAAATTTAGGGAAGAGGAATCAGTAAAATATCATCAGTAAAATATCTTCATATGAATATCAATTACATCAAAAGAACAATCTTAAAAATAAGTAGCAACTTCATAAATGTATGTAAAATCTGTGTAATGTTACTGCATAAGAACGTGTGGGTAAACACAATATAAATCAATGGTATTTTGGCCATCACATTTTTCTAATAGGTAAACAAGGAAGTTAAATGATTGATATGGTATGAGCCAGAGAGAGCGTGCTGGTAAAAAGTTATATATTTGATCTGCAACTGTAAATTGGAACTTAAAAATTTGCTCTCTGAAAGTAACGTACCATGTGCCATACAATAACCTATTTAATTTAGTCATTTCTCATATAAGTTGATGCGCATTACTCAGTCTCCACTCTCTGCTCATATCTCTAGGTTAGCTCTCTCACCCAAACGAGTGAGCATCACCTCGGCGCGTAGCTTTAATGTCGGGGAGCTGTATGCAGCTGACATTAGCTAAGGTCGATGTAACTTAACATTAGCTACACAGCTTTGTGGCCTGTCTCGTGACATCCCACAAGATTTGTGTCAACACAGAAAACGTTTAATCACTGGATAGGCTTTTTCGTTTATTTAAAGTGTGGTTTATGTCAGCTGAATGTGCGGAACGCTTTTCAGAGAAGATAAGGTATTTTAGCACAATTCACCCAGCGGTAATTCAGGAAAAAAAATATCCGAATGCTCCACATGAAACTATGGTCTTCCGACCTTTTACCATTACATCGTGTCGATTTATTTTGATTACTATGTGCCAGGGAGAGAGAGCAAGACAGCGCTTAGGAGACGGTGAAGCCTTTATACATTCGCCTGGCTCCGCAGAGAGAGAGAGAGTGCGCGCGCGCGACCGGGGCGCTCTCTCTGCTCGTTCTTCTGATGCGCCCTGTCACACTCGCAGCAGTTCGTCTACATTACTCATCTATCAAATAAGACTATGGCGGGACAAAAATAAGCTTTGGATTAGGAGCATCGATAAGAGGACTCTTTAACGTTGAGGGCATTCAATATCGATGGTTCATAAAACTTAGAACCGGTTCTCGAGTGGAACCGGTTTTCAATTCCCATCCCTATAATATGTATAACGTTAGCTAATATTGACAAAATCTCTTTGTGTGAGGAGTAATTTTATTTTGTACGAGGCAGATTGCTAACGTTAGCTAGCCAGCTTTGCTAACATCACTTACACATAGCTTACCTTTCTTTGTGCTTCCTTTCCAAGTGACGATAAAAGTTTGACGTAGTCCCCACCGTCTCCGAAAGCGAAGCACTGCAGAATTTACAAGAAGCTGTATGCTTTCTTCTGGATGTTGTGTTGCAATTATATTCTTTATGATTTTTGTAGCCGAATTGTATTACTGAAGATTTTGCAGACATCTTCTCCCGCTCCCAGACAACCACAGATCACTTTCTTGGGAGTGCGAGTGAAAGGGGGCGGGGATGGGTGACAGGCAGCGGTAACAAAAATACATAATTAGCAATGACCAATGAGTCACGTTATTGCTTGAATTTGAATCAGTATGTTTTACATACAATAAAAGCAAGGATGTTAACAAAAAAATAAGTCAATATACTGGCAAATTAGTGATATTTTCACAGTTATGGTCTTGTCTGGTCTTGAAAAAAAATCCCGAGTACTCAATGTCCGAGACCGAGACAAGACCGAGACCAAATGCGGTCGAGTCCGAGACGAGACCGAGACCATCAAAAAGTGGTCTCGAGACCGGTCTCGAGACCAAGACCGGTCTCGAGTACTACAACACTATTAACAGCATCATATTTCTGTCGTAAGACCAGCTGATGGACACCGTGCTGCGTTGTCATGGGAACATCCCAGGTGAAAATAATGAGGAAATTACGTTGTCTTTCGTTGCTCCTTCATCAAGTGCGTTCCACACGGCTGCCTAACAGCCCACTAGAGCCTTGCTCACTCCAAAAGGGCTCTGCAATCTCCCCTTCGAAGGGAGTATGGCATAGGGAAGCTCACGAGCAATAAGCACGTCTTGGCCGGGTTCGTCACTTATTTGGTTCCCCTGGAAACATTTCCTTTGTGGTGTGTGTTATTTGCAGCGCTTTTTCTGTATTTGGTTGTGTTGTGAACTTTTGCAGCGCGTTTCCTTATTTGGAGCACACTTGTGTTGTGAAACTGATGAAGATGTTTTTTTAATTTGCAGGTGTTTTTTTCTATTTGCACGCGTGTTTTTCTATTTGCATGTGTTTTTTTCTAGTTGCATGCGTTTTTTTCTATTTGCATGTGTTTGCTTCAGTTGCAGCGCGTTGAGCTGTCTCGGCCACCGTAGGATCAGCATTTTATGTTCCAGAATTTAAAATAGGAAAATATGGGAGATTAACAGATGGGACTTCAGTGTATACAGCAGAATTGGTGGCAGTTCAGATGGCTCTTAGTTGGGTGGAAGAAGTGATGCTAAATAAAGTTGTGATATGTTCAGATTCAATGGCATAACTTATAAGCCTACAAACATATCAAACAGTTAGATATGATATCTATATTGAAATATTGAATATTTTGTATAGATTAAGGCAAACTGGAACATTAATAAAATTTGTTTGGGTACCAGCACATGCTGATATACCAGGAAATGAAAGATCTGATAAAATGGCTAAAGAGTCACTTAAACTAAACATCCCTACTATTACAGTTGCATTAAGTAGGATGGAAGGAAAAAGTATCATTAATAGAAGCTTCAACCAGAAATGGCAAAGAAATTGGAATGAATGTAAAACAGGAAAATTATTTTTATAATATACAAAATACTGTAAGACAAAGTATATTGACACAAAATTTAAATAGAGACGATCAGGTTATTTTAACAAGACTAAGGATGGGACATACAAAACTTAATTCTACACTACAAATTATAGGGAAACATGGTACAGGCTTATGTGAAATATGCCAAGTAAAGGAAACAGTTGAGCATGTGTTGTTATTTTGTCCTAGGTATGAACAGGAAAGGAAGGAGTTAATAAGTGAGCTACAGGAAATGGGATGCAAAGAATTTACAATCAATAACATATTAAACACAAAACAAGGATCCGGTGAAATTGTAAGGTCAGTTTTAAAATTCATTAAAGGGATAGTTCACTTTGAAATTAATTCTTGATATGTTTAGCTTACCTCAAGGGCATCCAAGATGTAGGTGTCTTTGTTTCCGCAGTAGTTTCAATTTTGATATTTTTAGGTCAAACCGTTCTTGTCTGTCAGTCATATAATGCAGGCCTATGGGGTCCACCTCAAAGAGCATGCACAGAGAAGTCCAAATTAAACATGATTTAATGACTCGTAAATGTAAGTACACATTGATGGCCTAAGACACGAATCGAGTGGTTTGTGTGAGAAAACGAACAGTATTTATATCGTTTTTACCTCTTGTAACGCACAGACGGAAGCGCCCGCGCCCTCAGATCACTTGGACGTGACTGTGATTACAAGAGGTAAAAACGATATAAATACTGTTCGTTTTCTCACACAAACCGCTCGTTTCGTGTCTTAGGCCATCAATGTGTACTTACATTTACGAGTCATTAAATCATGTTTAATTTGGACTTCTCTGTGTATGCTCTTTGAGGTGGTGACCATAGACCTGCATTATATGACTGACAGACAAGAACGGTTTGACCTAAAAATATCAAAATTGAAACTACTGCGGAAACAAAGACACCTACATCTTGGATGCCCTTGAGGTAAGCTAAAATATATAAAAAAATTATTTCAAAGTGAACAACCCCATTTAAGCATAGTGGTCTTAGGAATAGAATATAGACATCTTTTTATTTTATTTTATTTTTTATTGGTATTTATATAGACATCTTTTAACATACATCTAGACTGAAATCACTTCACACTCCAGCACAGGTGGTGGCGGTATGCACCATAAAGTTGGAATACAACCCGCCAATAAATCCATAGAAGAAGAAGAAGAAGTCGTCATTCAGACAAACAAACTTCAAAGACGCTCCAAGTTCACTCATAGGTTCAGTCCTGCCACAGGGTATATACAGGAATCCTTAAGTTAAATTTACTACTTTTTAATACCTTTTTTACTACCTTCAGATTTTTTTTTAAACCATCACGACACTGAATTGCAAGTGTTTATCAGCGACCTTTCTATTATTTACACAGATTTTGACATATATAACATACAAAAAAGAAGAGATTTAGAGACTGATGTTGACAACATATTATTTATTTCACTTAGTAAATAAAAATAAAACAAACTACATAAAATGTGCAATGCAAAAAGTTGATGCATTACAAAATGGCATCTTCTATGAACTGTTGCTGATTCACAAACTGGCATCCACTACATGAACTGGTGAACTATTGTTTGCACTTGTGCTATAGACCTAATATGAACTTGTGGGCATAAAATCCTATGGCAAGTGCCTTAATTCCATGGCCTTTTCCTCAATAGTTTTGTCTATTTTGACCAGTTCCTCTTTTTTCTCCTTGTGTCTCCTTCTAAGTGTGTTTGATTTGGGCCATTTTTGACCCAGCTTTCCCCACTGCCTCCTCGGCCAATTTGTTGGCATCATTTTCAAGGATGGCACAGACTTCGTCCAGGATTCTGCGTTGCTGCTTGAGCTCCTATAGTTCGTCCTCTGCGGCCTTCCTTTTCTGTGTTTGAGCATCACTCTGCTCCCTCTTTTTATGCTCTTGCTCCAGGTAGAGCCTGTACTGGGACCTCGCTGAGGCCACAATAGCCAGCAGGTCCTTGGTTAAAGGCACCTTGAGGACACCATCACAGATTAACCTCAGTGGCTCCAAGGATTCACCTAGAAGGTTACAGGTTTCCACCTCCTTGTTAATGGAGAAGCCCCTCTCCACGGTGGCTTGTCCATGTGAAAGAAGTAAAACGCTCTGGCAGAATCTCAACAGGTCCATGTAGGATGGGCTGAGGGTCAAGTGTAATGTCTTCAGCAATGGCCAAACTTCAACTGCCCTTTCCACCACAGGAACGTTTTCCACCCATCTATGGCAACAAAATGGTATGGGAAAGCAGGAGGACCCCGTCAGGCTAGTGAAATCTTCTCTCCTGGCAGGAACATTATGAAAGAGGAAGTGCATGGCTTGCAGAAGTTTTTCCAACTGCCATATAGTAAAGCCTGGATTTAAAGCGTTGTGGACGGTGTGAAGTCCACAGCTTCCAACAGTGACAACCTGGGCACCTCCATAGAGCTCTGCATGTTCTTTCTGGAGTAGATCCACCAACTTGAAATTCACATTGGGGCCATCCATTCCAACTGATAGCAGTTGCCTCAAATTCAATTGTGTGACACATTCCTGTGAATCTACACCAGGAGGAAATCTGTTATAAGTTATCATTCAGACACAGTAAAATAGATCTCAACATTCACAAAGGTTGGTTAAGGAGAAGCATTACTGCATACACATTTGATTTCAATTAATAATTGGTAATTCAGCAATTAAATTATTTAGTGTTTTTTTCCAACAACAAAACCTGAGCCAAATATTACATTTCTATAACTGTGATAAGTTGTTGAATTTAACAAAATACTAAAAACCTATTTTTCTTGTACCTTGGAGCTATACCCCACAGGTCAATAAATGTAGGTGGGCCTACATGTTTCATTCAAGTAACTGCAGGACTTTGGCCAATTTTATTATTTTGTGTAACCAACAGTAAATTAGCCAACATCATCCTGTAATATACAAAATCTTTGTGAATAAATAACTCTTCAAATGAGTGATCACAGGATACCGTGGCTATATAAAAAAGAACTTACCTTTATGTAATGCAACAAATCTTCGGCCCTTCCATGTCCCAAAAACTGAGATCCAAAGTATCTGGATTGGACACGGTCATCCTCCCAGTATCGAACATGGATGTCAAGCTGTTTTTTCTTCGACGCCTGATTGAGGCTCTCATCAAACATCAACACGAATGGCCATCAACAAGCTGTTTTTTGAAGAACGATGCTAATCCAAATCTGATGATGTACCCGGTTTTGTCTTTACCACACACGAATGACTTCACGATGTCAGAGTCGGGAAACATTTATTTAACTCTCTGGGGTCGGCGGTATCGCCGGCGATACCAGCTCACTTTTTTCCTTATCAGTGCAAAAGAGACTCAAATTACTCTGTTGATTTTGATCTTACATATAAGTGTTATACATCATTCGATCCTGTTAAGTTTGTATTTTTTTTGTGGAACCTCACAATAAAAACAAAGTGTTGTGCTTTTCGCCTAATAAAGAAAAATAAACATGATGCGCGTTCTGCGTTCTCTCTGTCAGTGAAGTCCATTCTGAAACGCGTCCGAAAAATGAACTGTAACTAAGTCAATACTTGCCACAGAGACACGAGAGATGTGTCTTTTTAAAGCTTGTATTCTCTTCTTCTAAATGAAGTAATTTATTAAATAAATAAATATTTCCAGTTTATGTAATCCGTTTGAAACCAAGGAGAGGTACAGTTTTTTCGTTCTCCCTTCATTATTTTAATGAGCCGAGGCCGCCACGCCCCTAGCGCTTTTCACATGGTAAATAGGTGATCTAACGTTATGCATAGCACACGCCCAGCGATCAATGGCATAAAAACACGAAGTTTCTTCACTGATAGATTCATTGCGTTTTGAGGATGGCACGGTACTCCGACAAAGAGGCCCTTCAGATGATTCTGGACAGCGAGGAAGAATTCACTTTTCCTCAGAGGAGGATTAGCCTATAACTCAGACGAGGAACGGCTGCATTTTGAAGAACGAATTGATCCCGCGCCGAGGATAGGCCTACAAGTTCGGAGTAAGTTGTTTAGTGTTTTATAATTTCTTTTCTGATCGCATAGAGCTCAAATGAATTTTCAGACTATATTTTTGCCTAGCTTTTGACATCTTACAGAAAAGATTGCCTCACAATATCCCTAACATCCCTAAAAGTGTAAACTTTTTAAATGTGATATTACTCTCTAAACATATTTGTATATTAAATGTATAGTTTTGATTAGCTTATGACACTGATTATCATGCTAAAATACTGCCTTATGTATTTTGTTTGCGAATAACTGCATGTTTAGGTATAGCCTATTGATTTAGTGAAATATATTTCAGCCTCCGGTAAAATATGTGATACTGTCTAAATACAATATATTTTTTATATAAAAATGTTGAGTTTTGGTTAGCCTATGACACTACTTATGCTAAAATAGTGCCTTATGCGTAATGTAGCCTATTTTGTTTGCGAATAACTGCTTAGGTTATATAACGAGAAATATATTTCAGGCTCTGGTAAAAGAGGTCTAAATACAATATATTTTTTATATAATTAAATGTTCAGTTTTGGTTATGACACTAAATCATGTGTAAATAACTGAATACAGGTGTAAATGTTTGAAATGTAGTGATGTGTCGTTCGCGAACGATCCGTTCATTGCGTGTAGTCCTATCACTAAATGCGTGCGGTCTTTATGGGCCATCAACAGATATTTCTCCGTCCCATGCCCCATCAACAGATATATACATACATTGTGCATCCATACCCATTAATTGTCCATCAGTTTACTTTGGATAATGTATGCTAACAGTTTTTTTTTAGGAATGTGTCTGCATCATGCTCTCCTTCGCCAGCACCTCGCAGAGGGACAGGTGTCGTTCAGTTCTCAGTGCGATCGAGAATCATACTGAGTAAGTGCACAAACGTAATATTTTACAGATGAAATTTAGCCTAATTGTGTTTACATCGTCATAATGTAGGCTACCTATTCTTGTGTGAAATTACAAAAAAAAAAATATCCATGGCAATTAGTGATTGATAATGAAAATAATACAGTTTATTTGATTGTGTTATCAGCATGCTCATGCTTTTTTCTTTTTTATAACAGATGTGACAATGAACACGTCCATCCACCAGTTCTGAAGAGAGCCAAGGCAAACAAGCAGGCAAGCAACAGGCAGTCCACTTTTTTATATGTATAAAAAAACAAGTTTTTATGTTTTTTTTCTTTTTGAAAGGATGTGTTAAGTGATAGTAATGACTTTAAGTCTTTACGTTCTTAGGAAAGATTTCTATTTTGAATAAATGCTGTTCTTTTTAACTTTTTATTCATCAGTGAATCATTCTTAGTTCAGGCTGCCTCACAGCACCTTGATGGGCCATTGGGGGAGTGTCTTGTCTTCCCACCCAGGTGTAAATCACATTAATATTCATGGACATTCACACTCCCACGAATACAGCAGTGCTGACCAAAAACTGACGTAAGAAATTTAAATCATTATATTGTTGTTTGTGAAAGAGTGGTCAGAATGATTCTCACTTCATTTTGAAGTAAAAATTCTAGCCTACAAGAATAGTAACTCAAAAGTCTTGTGGACAACTATTCAGTATGTGTTAAATGGCCTTATTGCGGTGACATTTTTTTCCTCAAAACGTACTAACCACGCATAATATTTTTTTTTCTATAAAATGCAAACATTTACATCCATTTTGCTCACATATTATTGTAGCAGAGTTTGTGCTGAATACAGCAAATTTATATGTTGGCAAATGGGATGTTTTAAGTAGCTGAAATAAGCACAAATGTCAGGGCATGTCAAAACATCTCGAGGGCCCCAAAAACACCTCAGACCCCAGAGGGTTAACCTGTTAACTGTCACCGTCCCGTATACGGGACGCCTAACTTTACTTCGCTATATTACTATTAAATCCTAATTATGACAAACTATATATCGTTCGAAAGGTCTAAGACTCCTAAATAGATATTTGACTGCTGTTTTTTGCTACAAATTATGTAGGAAGAGTAACCGATGAATTTTTGACGAGTGCACCTCAAAAAAATCTGCATCATAACAGGAGTTCTGACCTTTGTCACAAAAAGTCGATGGATCGACTTTTAATCATTGCAACTTCTGTTTTAATGCTAAAAATTCATAATAAAACATATATTCTAGTATTTGTCCCTAAAAATTTATAAAATTATATTATAAAAATAGAGAATATCCATCTATCATAGTTCATGTATATTGTCTTGAATGAGACTAATGTTAGTGTACATATATATTTATAATAATTAGTATAATTATAATGTTCATTTTGTAATAAAATATTTGTTTGTGTGTGGATTTGCTATAATATACTAATTGCTATATTGGTGGAGTCTTCTGACCAGCAACAGCCCACCTTTACAATGTTATGTCCAATAACAGCAAGGCAAGACAGTCTCAGTAGCCAAACAGAGCTGTCATAGCCGTTACTAAGGCTAATTTAAAGCAACAGGTTATCCAATAGAAACTTAGTATAGGTCTAATTGCAAACACGTGCCAATCACAATCAACCTCCTGTTTGTAAATGCTGCTGCACGTTTATAAACGTGTTGTGGTAGCCAGAAGGAAACATGGCCCTCACAACACAGCACAATCACCTGGAGCACCATGGAGAGCACCATCAGAGGAAGACACAAGGTTGAGGCTGCACAATGAGGTTCAGGACCAAGGATAGCTCCAACACAGGTGTGCACAGTTTCCCCCTCTGACAGGGAACCTCAGCTGCAAGCTGTTGGGCCAATTAGCGGCCACAAAAGAGGAAGCTAAGCAGCCACAGTAGGAGAGAGAACAAAGGAGGTGAACACACACTGAGTGCAGACCTGACCCAACCACGAACTGGAAGATAGAGGCCTAGGGGAGGACGTGAGTAGCCTGAATGACATCTGCTAACGCTACACTTCTTCTGCCTCCCCTTTAGATATAAATTTGATGCCAAAAGGAGCTACCGAAGAAAGAAGGAAAACCTGAGTTACATTTTCTCTATATTCTTTTACACAAACTTTACTAATTTTACTGGGTTATGTATAAATGTGATGTAAACATATAATTGTATAAGTATATATATATATATATATATATATATATATAATTGAATTATGCATGCATGTACTATGTTAGTTTTATGCTTTATTCAGTTTGCAAAATAGTTGCATGTACCATATTAGTTGAATGCTTTATTCAATTTGTACTATATTGTTGCATGTACCATATTAGTTTTTTTTTTACTATATTCAGTTTTTGTACCATATTGTTGCAAATTCTTTGTAAGTTTTATACTATATTCAGTTTGTATATTGTTGCAATAGGTATTCAGATGATGATGGTGAGGACTCATCTGCATCAGCTACTACATCCACTTTCAGTGGATTTAGTGAAGAAGGCAGAAGGAGAAGTAGAGGAAGAGGGCAAAGCAGAGGAAGAGGGCAAAGCAGAGGAAGAGGGCAAAGCAGAGGAAGAGGGGCTGTTTCTTCGGGTACCACTGAGGCAAGATGGCACAGATCAGATGAACCCAACATCCCACCACCTGAGGTTGTGTTTCGACCAGCTCGAACTCCTGGCCCTCAGCTTCTGACTACAGAGTCATATTGCGCTCTGGAACTGTTTCGGCAGTTCTTTTCTTCATCAGTGTGTCAAACGATCATTCGCAACTCAAATGCTTATGCAGCTGAGCACCAAGACACAACCAGGAAGCCATGGCAGGACATGTCCCTGAAGGATCTATACTCATACCTGTCAGTGGTCATCTACATGGGTCTGGTAAAAGTACCACAAATTTCAAATTACTGGAGTGGGTCCAGGCTTTACAAATTTGGCTTTCCTGCCACTGTCATGTCTGGCAGGAAATTTCAGGCCATTTCAGGAGCACTGCATCTCAGCGATCCTAAGATGGATGCTGAGAATGCAAAAATGAAGGGGACTCCGACCTATGATCGCCTGGGTAAATTGAAACCAGTTTACCAGGAGATAAGAGATGCCTGCAAGACCTATTTTCACCCTCATCAACAAATCGCCGTAGATGAGAGGATGGTGGCGTCCAAAGCTAGGATTGGGCTGAAACAGTACCAAATAGAAAAGCCAACGAAGTGGGGGTACAAACTTTTCGTTTTAGCTGATTCAGCCCATGGATACACGTGGGATTTTTATATTTATGAAGGCAAATCCCCTGAAAGACAAAATGGACAAAGTAAGGGGCTGAGTTACGAATCTGTGATGGCACTAGTGGATGAGAGGATGCTGGGAACCGGCTACAAGCTGTTTGTAGACAATTTCTACACCAGCCCATCATTTTTCAGAGACCTCCTCCAGAAGGGCATCTGGGCCTTTGGGACCATTCGAAGTAACCGGGTGGGCTTCCCAAAAACTCTAGAAAACAAGTTACCCAGAAATGCTCCCCGTGGGAGTATGCGGTGGATTCGTGACGACAGGCTCCTCTTTATCGAATGGAAGGACACCAGGGAGGTGCTCATGTGCTCCTCCTTCCATTCACCAGGAGGAGATCACACCGTACGGAGGAGGGTGAAGACGAGAGCTAGAGGATGGACAGAACTCACTGTACCTATACCTACTGCAGTCCATGACTATAACAAGTGAGTCGAATTTATTCAGTGGTGTTGTGTACAAAAATTGTACAAATGAGTTCATTTTATTTACTTGGTTACATTTGCATTTAGATGTGAAATATATATTCTATTATTTCCACACAGGTACATGGGAGGAGTTGATCTCTCTGATGCCCTTGTTGGGTATTACAAAATACTCAGAAAGACCAGGAAGTGGTACCGCTCGATTTTCTACCACTTCATTGACATTGCAGTGGTAAATGCCTTCCTCCTGCACCAGCAGTTGGCTGCTGCTTATAATCAAAGAGCAAAAACACAGCGGGAATTCCGTGAGGATTTGATTATGGAGCTTGCAGACTGAATGCCTCCTTGTGAGTCTGCTCCCCCTGCTCCTCCTGCTCCTCATGCTCCTCCAGCACCTCACATGACAGGAGAACCCTCAGGCCATGTCTGCCACAGGCCAATGTACATCACAAATAAAAGTGATGACCCCAGGAGAAGATGCCAAGTGTGCCATCGCAAAATGCTTGTGTTCTGTCAGAGATGTGCATCATACTTGTGTTTCCAAGCAACACGGGATTGCTTCAATTACTGGCATGATGTAAATAGATTGTAGTTTTCAGAAGTAGTGAAAATTTGAATAAAGTTGGAAATAGTTTGTAAATAGTTAAATTGGAAATAGTTTGATATTTATTTTCCCAGTATTTTTATTTCATTATTATTTTATTTTATTATTTACTAAGTCTTATTCAAGTTTCAGTTGCAATTTGTATAGTAAAGTGAAAATATTTGTGAAAAGTTTGGATAAAAGTTTTTAAAACATCTCTCTCTGGCTGTGTGTTTGTGCTGTGGTGTCAGATGTCAGTTCAAACAACTAACGTTACTGATCCACTTTTGCGACACGACTGAAGCGTGGTGTTGCAACGCCTCCCCACATTTGTACGTTGATGGGCGTTCCTCAAGTTTGCCGCTATGGGCGGGGTTTTGACCCAGTGGGGGAATGTTGTGTATTTAAAACATTTGTTCGAAGAAGTGATGTGTGTGGATTTTTTTGAGCAGTCATGATGAATCAAACACAAAGGATCATTGTAGCTGCACTGCTCTACCTCCGGAGAAAGAAGACACGTCGTCGCCATTGGGTTCACCCTATCCGGAGTGAAGTTGCCAGGCGGGAGTGTGCGGAGTACCACTGCCTTGTGATGGAGCTCCGGCTTGACGATGACATGTTCAGGGAACATTTCAGGCTGTCCAAGGAGTTGTTCGACGACCTGCTGGTGCGAGTGGGACCCCGGATTGCCAAGACGAACACATTTTTTCGTCAGGCAATTGGTCCTGCTCAGCGCCTTGCTATTTGCCTACGGTAAGCTACTGCACCTAAGATAATACAGAAATACATGTATGTATGTAATGTATGTTTACTATGGGAATACATCGCTTTATTTTCAATATTACTTTGATTGAGTAGTGGACGTTCTATCAATATGATTTTAAAGCAACATTGTTTAATGATCATGTTAGGACCACTACATTTTTGTTTTCAAATGTTCTTATGAGGCCAATAGGCTAACGTGTGATATCTAAAACAGTGATTACATATACTGGTAAATGTGTACTACCTGAATATACGTGCAGTTCATTAACATTTTATTAATTTTTAGCAGTTAGTCATACAAAAATAAAAAAAAACGCTTTAAAGGGATAGTTCACTTTGAAATTAATTTTTGATATGTTTTAGCTTACCTCCAGTGCATCCAAGATGTAGGTGTCTTTGTTTCCACAGTATCTTCAATTTTGATAATTTTAGGTAAAACCGTTGTTGTCTGTCAGTCATACAATGGAGGTGAAGGGGGTCCTCCTCAAAGAGCAGTCAAAATTAAACATTATTTAATGACTCGTAAATGTAAGTACACATTGATGCCCTAAGACACGAAACGAGTGGTTTTTGTGAGAAAACGAACAGTATTTATATTGTTTTTACCTCTTGTAACCACAGCCATGTCCAAGTTATTTGAGGGCGCGGACGCTTCCGTGTGTGACGTGTACGCAGACTGGTGCATAGATATATATACCCTAGATGTCGCCTTGGCTAAGGTTTCGTTCCAATGAACTGCCGTCGCCAAGGCGACTTCTAGTTTATCTATGCACCAGTCTGCGTACACGTCACACACGGAAGCGTCCGCGCCCTCAGATAACTTGGGCATGGCTGTGGTTACAAGAGGTAAAAACAATATAAATACTGTTCGTTTTCTCACAAAAACCACTCGTTTCGTGTCTTAGGGCATCAATGTGTACTTACATTTACGAGTCATTAAATAATGTTTAATTTTGACTGCTCTTTGAGGAGGACCCCCTTCACCTCCATTGTATGACTGACAGACAACAACGGTTTTACCTAAAATTATCAAAATTGAAGATACTGTGGAAACAAAGACACCTACATCTTGGATGCACTGGAGGTAAGCTAAAACATATCAAAAATTAATTTCAAAGTGAACTATCCCTTTAACTGGGCTAATTAATAAGCGTTATTTATGTTAAATCATGTTTTTTACAACATAGGCTACGTCAAGATTGTTACGCAATATTGTGTGTGTGTGTAGAAAGAATTCATACACACCCGGTCAAAAAAACAACAACAAATGAGCGCAAGTCCACCGTCTAGGCCTAGCACTAGGCAGTTTTTGGTGTTAATTTCTATTTCTTGTCTACATGCAATTGTTATTAATATATCTTCATATCTTCACAGATTCCTTTCAACAGGGGATTCATTCAGGACAATATCGAGCAACTACAGGGTGGGCCACTGCACTGTGGGAAGAGTGGTGAAAGAGGTGTCAGCTGCCATCTGGGATGCCCTGCTACCTGAGTTCCTGCCTGCACCGTGCATGGAGGACTGGCGTGCCATTGCAGAAGGGTTCAGCCATCGCTGGAACTTCCCCAACTGTCTTGGTTCAGTGGATGGGAAGCACGTGGTCATCCAGGCTCCAGGCAACTCTGGCTCCATATACTATAATTACAAGGGCACATATTCCATTGTGCTGTTGGCAGTGGTTGATGCCGACTACCTCTTTAGGGTAGTTGACGTTGGTGGATATGGCAGGACGAGTGACGGCGGATCCCTCTACAACTCTGCCTTTGGTGAGGGCCTCCGAGATGGCACCCTGGACCTCCCTGAATCGGCGGTCACCCTGGGTCTGAGCATCGTGGTACAATGCCCTTTGTGTTTGTAGGAGATGAGGCATTTCCCCTCCGCTAGAACCTCATGCGCCCTTTCCCTGGCCCCCCATGTCCCTGGAGAGCAGAGGGTGTACAACTACCGCCTCAGTCGTGCCAGGCTTGTAGTTGAGTGTGCTTTTGGCATTCTGTCTTCACAGTGGAGAATGTACAAAAGAGTGATGGCTGTCAGCCCTACTACTGCTGAGACGTGTGTCCGAGCCACTTGCGTTCTCCACAACTACCTGCGCGTCATGACCCTGAAGAGAAGGCACAAGGCAGGCAGTTACCGTAGGCCTGGTGATGGTAGTTGTCTCCGGGGAGTTTCCAGGATGTCTGCAAACAACGCCACACGGGAGGCCTTGAGAGTGAGAGGCAACTTCGCCTCTTATTTCAGTGAAGAGGGCGCTGTTCCTTGGCAGGTCCAGCCATAAACCAACCCAGCAGCTGCATAACACAATGGCTCTTTTAAGAGCCACCCACATTGAAGGCATACTTCCAAAGTAGCACAAGCATTATACATACATTCATCTTTAAAAGCAAAGGTCCATGTTACATAAGTGTAACACATGGAAATGTAAAGCATATATATGTGATACACCTGACTTCCCCCTTCACACAGCATTTTCACCCCTTACACTGTTCGGAAAAACATAGAGCCCTTTTGGCCTGAACAACCACACTAAATAAACATTTCACAGGGATGTTACACTACTGGACACCTCCCCTGACCCCTTGTGACAACTCACCTGTTCTAACTGAACCTTGTCATTAAATTCTACATTCTGTGTATAAACAATACATATATTGTCAGTTATCTTTTTTCATTTACTTTGGTTTGACGTTTCTCTTTTTTTATGTGGGTATCAAGAGGATTCCTCCAAACAACATTCTATATGAACTTATTGGATAAAATATTAACTCATTGAACAAACTAAACATTTATTGAACAAAATATACATTTATTGAACAAAATAAACTTAAATTAATAAATATAAATAGGTATAATGTACAACACAAACATGAGCATAAATAACATTTTAAAGAAAATTACTCCCTTCCCTCCAAATCCGCCTCATAGACTAAACTATAGATTTTAAATTTCACCTCGGCCCTCTTGGCCAGGCTCATCCGTCGCAAGGCGGGCAAGAGGCTCAAAAAAAAAAAAATCTCATCCTCATTTGCTGTGGACAGAGCTACTTGAGGAGGAGGAGGAGGAGGAGGAGGAGGAGGAGGAGGAGGAGGAGGTGGTGTCGGCTTCATATTACGAGCCTCCTGGAGTGAACTTAATAGCTCCTGCTCAAACACAGACATGGTCGTCCCTCTCTTCTTCCTCATCTGGGGCCTGAAATCAGAGGTGGAAGGGCCTGCCTCCTCCAGGTCTCCCATCACCTCGAGGAGAGGTTGAGTGGGTGCAGGTGGGGGGCTGGGTGCAGCCAAAGGGGTAGGTGTAGGTGGGGGGCTGGGTGCAGCTGGGGGTGTTGAATATAGCGGGGTGGGTTTAGCTGGAGGGGAGTGAAGCAATGGGACTCGCTGGGGGGAGTGTGGCTGGGGTACTTTGGCGGCACAGGTTGGAAATGGTTGGCCTACTCTCCATGAATGGGGCCAGGAACCCCATCACAGCCATATACTTCCATGGCCGAGCATATGAGGCCCCAGCCCCACTCCTGCTCTTCTCCCTCTCCTTCCTCTTTTCCCTGCTGTACTGGTCCCTCAAGATCTTCCACCTGGTGCGACACACATCCTCTAATAATAATAAAAATATATAATAAATATAATAAAAATATACATATGAGAAAATTAAATGTAGGCTATGAATCTGCCTGTGCATCTACTGCTACTACTTATATGCACATTTCAAATGGTCAGATCAGTCATGAGTTATGTATTTATTATTTTGTCCCTTATAATCTCTACCTACCAACAATCATAAATACTACTAGCTTATGAGAACATGTGTGTGCACTGCAGATGCACATGTGCTGTACCATTACAACTCATTGGTTGAATTAACATGTTATTTAACACAGTGCAAACTCATAAAACCCACCAGGGACTCCAACGACCTCTGCCACCCTTCTCCAGGCATAATGTCGTTGCACGTTGTCCCTATAGGACAACAAAGATGGGTCATATAAATTGGGCAAAGCTGCAACCGCCACAATCAATTTCTCCTCCATTTTCAACTCGGAACTAAAGTTTCCTGAGCATTTGTGTAGTAGGACGTCTAGAACAAAGGACCTGCGAGAGACTTCCCCCGTCTACATGTGCTCTACTTCTATTGGATAGACGCTTCGCGTTTGACGGATTCATTTGCATGTGCTCTACTTCTATTGGATAGACGATTCATTTGCATAAAGCTGGGCACCGGCCAGCTTTTGGACGCGCAGCATTTTTTCAAATGAAGCGCCGCCTTCCCGGGATGCTTTGCGGGTAGGACTGGGGCGGTATGGATTTTT